GAGCTATTTATCACTGCCACTGAACATCACCTACCATCTTTCCTTTTCCCTTCTCATTCACAAGAACAGAATACAATCGGATTCGGCAATTCATCAGCACGCGGCTAATTCCTCACATGAGATCACCCCCATCTCTCTCTCTCTCTCTCTCTCTCTCTCTCTCTCTCTCTCTCTCTCTCTCTCTCTCTCGCTCGCTCGCTCGCTCGCTCGCTCTTTTTCTTTCTTCGCGCTCCCTGCACATGCACGTGCTCATAGGACTTGGGAATTCGAAGCAACAGAATGACTTGCCTCCGAAGCCCCTTTGCCGGTGTCATTTTGTTAGTACTAACGAGGATGCCAGTGTGCTTCGACGAGCGCGCGAGCGCGTCTCTGTGTGCATGTCTTGTGTGCGTGTGTACACGTGTCCGGTGTGAAAAAGAGGGAAAGAGCCCCCCCCACAGGAAGATAAAAACAGACAGAAACAGAAATCGGACAGAACATAGGCGGCCAAAGTCCATCCTCATCCTCAACTCAATGCGCCACATTTCCTCTCTAGTTCCACTTGGATGAGGCGACGCCTGTGACATCCGTGGTTGAGCCTCTGGGTGAGACACTGATGAATGGCATCAATAGGCCAAACACCAATACACTGTATGCAAGATGTGATGCGTCAGCGGTGTTCCATGGAAACAATGCGTGGGAGGACTGCTTAGCAGGTATGCGTATCGACCCATGCGAAGTCAATTGTTATTCGAGCAAGGGAAGGAGAGTGAAGACCCGGGTGGGTGAGACATTCGGCGCACAGTGGGAGAAATAGGAAAGGTCTGTGCTGTCGAAGCAGTTTCCGACCGACGGGTTCTGAGTCAGTGATCGGCAGGACGAACCGTACGACTGCGGAGAGCAAACTACAGCCGGTGCTCCCGAGTTTGGGGTGCAATTTAGATCCAACCCGACGAAGGCAGCGTCGCTCGATGCCCCCTCTTCGACCAGCGACCCAGACATGGAGTTCCCAGAAGAGTTCTGCTGTTGGTCCTCGTTCTGACAGTGAATATGTCGTTGATCGTGTTCGAAAGAGGTTTGTTGATGGCGGTGGCTCTTCTGACCAACTTCCACTCCAAGCTGATATTGCTCTTCATCTTGCCAGTATAAGCGCAGCCTCTTGGCGCTGTTAGATTTACTTGCCGTTGAGGAGGAAGGAGGCACACCCACGCTGGTGGTATTGGAGCAGGCCGAGAGGGTCTGGCTGCTATCAGACTGTTTCAGGGACGCAATGCCGAAAGGCGAAAAGGAGGGAGAGTGATAGCACGGAGGAGACGGGCCAGAAGCGCAATCTGACGACTTCGTCCCGCTTGAAGAACGAGAGACACGTCTCACGCTAGTGCAGTTGCTCGAAACAGAAATCTTAGCCTGACTGATGCTACACTGATCTCCGCCCTTGACGTGCTGCGGTGCCCCTCCCTCTACTCCGGCTGCCTTTATCTGCTGCTGGTGACGATAATTTAGCCTCGTTGGCGGAACAATATCTCCACTTGCCGGATTGATGCCAGAACTGTGCACATCTCCAGGGGAGCCGCCTTGCAGAACACGATCGACGGCTGCTTGGCAAAGCGACCAATGGCCACTCATCAGAAGACCTAGGGAGCCGTAAACGGGGTTGATGGAACGACCACAAGCCTCATACAGAAGAGACTGAAAGAGAGCTGCTCTCTGACTCTCCGGGACAGCGGTAATAAACCCCATCAGCCCTGCTCTTCCAAAAAATTTGGTCAAAAACACGGTGGCGTGTCCCTGGGCATCCTGACCCTCGATCCAGGCCAAGCAAGGGCGCAACGGGCAGTCTTCACTGCAGCCCTTGCGAAGCACACGACAACCTGTGCAACTCATGGAGTGTGCGGCTCTGTATCCCCTCTCTGTACTGTTGCTTGCAAAACTGGGGTTCAGTCGTCCCTTGCAAACACTTACCTATGACTCTCACCCTTCTGCCGCTCTCTCTCTCTCTCTCTCTCTCTCTCTCTCTCTCTCTCTCTCTCTCAATATATGCGTGTCACACGCTTTATCCGTCTCTCGCGTGCGCTTGGACTTTCGCTTTCCCTGTGTGTATAACTGCAAATTTCATCGACGCAATAACACACGATCCCCGCCAATGATGCGCCTGTCGGGATATAAGCGCGCACGCAGAGATATATATTAACACGACAACACTGGTCGCCCGTAGGAACACATTGCTAAACCGACTTGCTGGCTTTCTGTTTCCATGAACATACCCAAACACACCAACGGGGGCGCACAAGCACGCGCACAAATAAACGCACAGACAGCCAGAGCACAAGTGCCAACAGTTAGAATCCCCAAAGACATCATAGTCCAGGATAGAGCGATTTCTTCAACTTCGACTAACAAGTTGCTTGCTGATAGGCACGCGGGAAGGAATCTCTCTCTCTCTCTCTCTCTCTCTCACACACACACACACACACACACACACACACACGCACACACACACACACACACACACACACACACA